AGCTATTGTGCCCCTCCAAAGTACAAATATACATTGGAATACACTCATTGACCTTCAAGCAAATCTGTAAGTCTCTCTCTTTTTTTTTAACAGCATCTTGCTGTGTTGCTCAGGCTGTACTTAAACTCCCTGGTTCAAACAATCCTCCTGCCTCAGCCTCCCAAGTAGCTGGAACTACCAGAAGGTGCCACAAAGCACAGCACTAAAAGTCATTTTTTCAGACTCATTCTTGTAGGTGAGAAATACAGTTATAAAAAAGTATTGATATTTTGTATAAACTTCACGTGACTTTAGATGACATCTTAGTGATTTTCCAAATAACTTTCATAGCAGCTATCGAAATATGGAGACAGAACCCTAACACTTAATGAATACTCACTAAGACTACACTGTAAGCACTATACAATTTGATTCAAACACAGTTCACTTTTAAGTGATTCTGTACTTTGCTTTTTCCCCTCTCCCTAATAGCAGCGTAGCTCCTAAGCCCCAACTTCCAGGTTCAGGAAGGAAGGTGCCGGGGGAACAGAGCAGGACGGGGATTTTAGTAGACAGTGCTGGCTTCTACATCATAGTCTGAGCAGAGAAAAATTCCCGCTCTATTCTGTACACATGTGCAAACAAATACCGTCTCTTATATGCAGGAAACAGATATCCATCATATTCATGCCCCACTCAGCACGAACCTGGGTCCTTACTGATTTGGAAGAAAACACCAGATTGGAACTTTAAATTCTACCGCTGCGCCTTGCTAGCCGTGTGAGTTGAGCGATTTTTTTAACTTCTTTTGAGCTCTGATGGTTTTCATTACTAAAATGCAGGTTTTGGCCAGGCACGACGGCGCACGCCTGTAATCCCAGCATGCAGGAGGCTGATGCAGAGGACTGCCACGCGTTTGAGGCCAGCCTCAACTCAACAGTGAGTTCAAGGCCAACCTGAACTGTGTAACGAGACTTTATCTTGAAAAAAAAAAAAAAAAAAAGTTCTGGTTTTAATATCTACATCATAAAGTGTTTGGAAGATGAAGGGATATAAAATACACAAAAATATTAATTATTAGAACAATTCTCTGAGGCCAATGACACCCACACTTTACAGAGTTACAAAGGAGAAAACGGGTAGAGAAACTAACTGATCCAAGGTCACACAGGAAGCTATCGGAGAAGGCAGCAACTGACGCCCTCTGACTGCAAACGCGCAGGTGCCTGCACTCAGCCCTCGCGGCACAGCAAGTCCACGCCTCCTGCTGCCCTCTCCGCTGCTGCTCTCATATGAGGACCAGTTATCCCTGCTCTTCTCCCCTGAAGCTGGAGGGCTTCCCCACTCCTGACTAACCCAGCAGATCGGATGTGGCAGACACTGTACTCCATTTCCTGACATTGTGTATATGTCATCAAGACATCTGCGTTGGAAACGCAGGAGACAGGAAATGCCCATGACAGCACGCCATGTGCTGCTGGACCAACAGCCTGAGAGGAAAGACAGTGTCTGCTCTCCGATAAGGTACTGTGTGTGTCTACAATTTTGAGCTTCATTTTTACTGTCACTAGTGACACCTTGCACTGAGGGGCCTCCTGGGACTCTACTGTCATCCTTGGCGTTTAAGTTCCATTAGGGTGGTCACAGAGTTTGTAGGTTAGCTTCACAGAGCACATGGGACACTGACTCCCTGAGCCCAGGCACACCAGGGCCTTTAAAGTGCCTTCACCAAAGCCAGCGACTAGCCAGGTGGAGTGGTGCACAGCTGTAATCTCAGCACTCTGGGAGGCTGAGGCAGGAGGGCTGCAAGTTAGAGCCCAGCCTGGGTAACCTGGTCCCTTCATGAGATCCTGTCTCAAGATAAAAAATTTTAAAAGGCCCAGGGATATAGCTCAGTGTGAAGGCCCCAGGTTCCACTCCCTGAACCACCACACACACAAAAAAGGAAAATAAACAAAACAAGACAGTGACTTTCAGGAAGGCAGTAAGAAGCTGTCGATCATCTTTACAAATGCCAGGCAAGGGCTGGGGACATAGCTCAGTGGCATAGCGCCTGCCTGGTAAGCACAAGTCATAACTTCTATTCCCGGTACCAAAATAAAAAATAAAAATGACAGGCAAAATGTCTTCTGCTAGCAGAGATCAAGAGACTTCCCATCATCAAGAACTCAACATGCAGAGGTGGAAGATGAGTGCAGAAGGCAAGCCATGGAGGAAGAAATCTAGGTCCTAAAGCTGAGAGACCTACGCGTCTCAGTAGGAGCAGGCTTTGCTTCCAGTTAAATGAGTTCCATCCATCAGCGCCCTGTTTGGTGTGCCTCTCTGTCTGCCATGCTGGTGATTAAGTAGCAGGGCTAGCTGATTTCATTACTGTGTTTGTTACACAGGCCAGACTTCCCTACATATCCTATTTCAGTACATAATGGTCTCAACTACCTCATGCAGACTCACGACAGCCAAACATTTTTCCTAGGATTTTGAATTCATAATGGAAATTCAAATTAGTCAGGATCCTGTATCTGCAGGATTATCCCAGTGAGAAAGTCGATTCAGCTTTGCCACGTGGCTCCCCATTATGCCAGAAGGTGGTGCTAGAGAGCCTGCAGGGCAGAGGTGTGGGAAGGCTCGGGCTCTGTCCTCTTCCCCTCACGGACACCGCTAGGGGCAGCACCAGTGTGTCCGAGAAGCTGCCTCCTCGCAGCTCCTGAGGACGCCTGCGTTGCTTCTCAGAGGCTGGGTTCCAGCTCCGGGGCCCCCTTGAGCATCTGTGCTGTGATAAGCCCCACTTCCTTATGCTCCCAACCCTAAGGACAGTGGCTGTTCCTCTACCTGCCATGTTCCCTGTTTATCTACGCTGCCTTCCAATATCTGTCATACTGATTTCTCATACTAAATTAACTATTAAAATAATTTATGCAGTTTCTACTTTTCTGGCAGAACCTAACAGCATACTCAAGAGCCAAGCTTCATCTATAATAGCAGTGAATAACACAGATTCTGGGCTGGGCATGGTGGTGCATCCCTGTAATCCCAGTGCTCTGGAGTCTGAGGCAGTGGGATTGTGTGAGACCAGCCTGGGCTACACAGTGAGTTCAAGGCCAGCCTGAATTACATAGCAAAATCCTGTCTCAAAAAAAAAAGGTGCAGATTCTAAAACTAGTCACAAGTAAGTGAAAATCCCAGTTCATCTACAAGGAGTGATCAAAATATGATATATGATGAATGCTTAAATTTTATTTATTTTATTTTATTTTGGTGCCAGGAATCAAACGCAGGACCTTGCGCTTGCCAGGCAGGCGCTTGTGCCACTGAGCTATACATCCAGCCCCTTAAATTTTAAAAATTACAATAAAATACACATTGCCATTAACCCCCCTCAAAATACTCCCCCAATTGATCCCACTGTTCTTGCACTTCTGAAGCAATTCTGGACCTTGGAGAAAGAAGTGTGTCAGCAGCTGGGTCTCCTCACAAAATGAGACCGAAGTTGTTCCCCAGCAAGTCAATGTCACACCAGGGATTCCTGAGAGCTCTTCCAGTCCTCCTGCTCCGAGCAGAGAAGCAATGGCCTTGGGGCAGCAGGCATTAAAAAAATGGGACAAACACCTAGAGAGGGAACACTACCAGGTGGCATTCTAAAGAAATTCCGAGGAGACCAGTAGTACTATGCTACTGAGCACCAGGTGCTGACAGACAACAAAAGCTGCAACGCACGGCTGGGACAGGGGTCCAGAACGGCCACGGCTGGGAGAGGAGAAAGATTCTAGACGGCTGTCACTGCAACATCAGAAAAAACAGTCTTTCTGCAAATATGTAACAGATCACAGCCTCTGCTGGCGCAGCAGGACTATATACAAGGGAGGCGGTACAAAGAAAAGAAAGACTCTAGGTTCTATCTAAGCTTGAATCCAAGAAAAAGCTGCACAGAAATCCAATCTCTACATGTTGACATAATCTTTCCTTGGACTTCTAGTGTCCACACATCGAGCATTTTGGGGCATGATGAAGGCGTTTCTGCAAGACTGCTGTGTGGCCAATTCCTGAAAGCTGTATCTAAAGCAAATTGAGACCTTATAAATCTGAACTAAACACTCCCATTGTTTTACTCATTTTGACTTGATTATGACGATCAAAAGTCATCCTAAAGGAACGCAACCATGGAAAATTATTATTAGAAGGTCTATTCCATATCCTTGCTCTAGGGCCTTGTTATAAGCAATTTACTGTCGCTGAAGGAATTTAGAGTTCCGTAAGGCATGAAAAGCCTCAAGAGTTTTATTCATAAATAAATGTCAACACTTAAACAATAAAGACAGTTTCAAAACTCCAGGACTATTGACATGAACAATTTCTACTGCCTACAGGACTTATTACAGCAGTTTATAGTCCAAATGGTAAGATAATTCAATTCCACCTGAACAGTCATTATGTGGCCGAACCTAAGAAAAGTACTTTGGGTAACAGGTAATGTTTCTCGGCGTCTCAGTTGCAAACAAGTTATTATTTCTGCATTTAGCACATCACCCAGCCGATTCCTTTCATGATCTGTAGCACTCTTGAGCAATTAAAAATTTTTTAAAGTGAAGGAAATAGGTCACAAATGCCAAATTCAAAATGATGCACAGAAAACTGAAGAGCCCTCAGAGAGCACGGATGTCTCAGACATAAGGCGGAATAATCCCTTCTGGTTAAGAAACCTTTAAATGAGCAGTGTGTGTGCATCACAGAAAGAACATTATCAGCCGGCAGAAGCGACCTGCTAAACAGACTTCCTCTCCAAACCGGGCTCCTAACAGATGTGAGCGGAAGGTATCTCCTGGGAAATGGAGAACTTCCACTCGGCACAGCGCCTTCACTACGCATGTGGCAGTTTTCCCTCTTAACCCGTTAACACACGTTCACATCAACCACGGAGGATCTGTAATACATTCTTGGACTTGGTGGATGACTGGCCCAGGCAGGTAAGGGCAAAGGGGCCCCGGCCAATCAGAACGGCTTCCGGTATTCCTGAGCTTACATACCATCCAGGCCATTGTGATGACTATAGTTTCTTTTCCCCAGAATGCTGAGAGATGTGTGATTCGGGGTGGTTAGCATCCGCTTGGTAGTTGGGGTCTGCAGGCTTGGTGTAGATCGAATTACATTAGGTTTCTTCGCAGGATGGATCTCTGACAGGAGGGAAAAAGGTTTCTCAACTCAGAACATGGTATTAAAATCTCTATGCATTCACACTGGCTAACGCCACACATCTCATTTCTTAATGAGCTGAGAGTCAGGTCCTCATGCGCCAGCCACAGATGTGCATAATGAAGCAGCTCCAAACTGTGTTGCCATGGCTTTGCTTATCAAGTAAGTGATTTTTCCTCTGCTGGCCAGAGCTGAGCCTCAGGTTGTGAATACAAACACACAAAAAAGCCACTTCAGAAGGTCACTTATGATGTGAGATTTACTAAGGGAATAAAGCACCTGACTCCTCAAGACATTAGAAATCAAATGATTATCTGAAGAGGTAGCCTCAGAAGAAAACACTTCTGTGCTCTGTCCAGCCAGGAACATGGGGCACGTCTGGAGTATGAGCTTTTTGAAAATCAGGACTCCTTCCTTGGGTCTACCACCAGGGTGTGGGACCAGGGTCCATCACTCCCAGCCCAGACTTTTTGATAATACATAACACCTGAAACCACAGTCCAAACATAATATTCAAATAATAAGTGAAATGCTTTGATCAAAGACATTAAAAAAGAAGTGAAGTGTGGGTGGTGTGTGTTTAAGTATATTGTTGTGAGCCACACAGCCCAGAACTACTACTTTTCATAGATGGACAGAAATCGCAATATAAGGACCCCAGTCTATTATCAACACCTTTCTCCAAAGCTGAACCTGTTTGCCAACTACGTGCAAAGCCACTGTCTCACCTCTCACCCAAGGTGAAGGCCAAGACAGCCTGATTTACTGAAATTCAGAAAGACTCGTTTGAATTGTTACAGTTCCTACACCTTGGTCTAGTCAAAATCTTGCACTTGTCGAAATTTAGGAATGGCTTAAGTACTGCCCCCGAAATAATGATGTTTTTTCAACGCAGCACTGCAAGTTTGCCAGCCTCGGATTTCTTTACAGCCTTCATGCCCTGTACTCCATCCAAACCAGACAATTTACCTCCCTGAACTTTTCAGGTCCTTAGACTTACTGAAGCCTTTGTTTATTTAGTTTTCTTGACTTCATGAGAGAATATTATTTTCCTACTTTCCCACCTATCCAAACCTTATCTTTCAAGGCTGAAATCAATTATTATTCTCTTCAAGTAGGCTACCCTAACAATACTCAGAAACAACTTCCCCAAGGGCTGGGGATACAGCTCAGAGATCAAGCACTTGCCTGGCATGAGTGAGGCCCTAGGTTTGAGCCTCAAACACACACACACACACACACACACATCCTTCCTCCAAATTCTCAATGCTTATTAAAACCTGTACTTTTTAAATTGCATCTAACTTTCATTTTATTGTTCTTACAGTGTGCTGTCAAGAAGATCTTTAAGGGCAAGGTCTTACGCATCTTAGTGTTCCCCCAAATGATGGATTACCAATGTCTTGAACATAGTAAATACTCAGAAATATGTAGGGATAAGGTTTAACTAAAAACAACAGTTTGGGGCTTATCTTGTAGGAATAGAAGCCAATTTTCCCACGGAAGACACACACAATTACCCACGGGAAGGCTGACTACAATGTAACATTATATTCTGTAATTTTAAGACCAGGTACTTTCCCTTGCAAGATGGGAGCATACAGACAGTGCTGCTGAGGGCATTATCACCACTACTTAGGCCATGTGTGTCTGGGGTGATATTGGGGCTGAGGATTTAGCTCAGCGGCACAGCACCTGCCTGGCAAGCGCGAGGTTGTGAGTTCGAGTCCCAGAACCGGAAAAAAAAACAAGAAAAAAAAAAAAAAAAAGCTGGGGGGATATCAAAGCAACTTTTCAGTCTTTGAGAAATAAAACAGAAAGTGGCAGGGTAACATCAAAGATGAACTCTGAGCTTTTGAGTACAGAGACATGTTGATGAGAATCAGATAATATATTAAGTTCAAGGAGTTCCACTCTGATTTTTTAAAAGTCTGGATGTCTAAATTCTGCATACTTCATAACTACAACTCTTCCTGACAGAGCAGTAAGGTTAATGCAACTCTGAGCATATATTTCACTTTTACTAAGTGAGTGAAAAAGAAATATTAGAAGCACAAAAACAGGCCATTTTTGCTTCTAGGTGTATGATGACCCATTGTTTTATAAACTATTCACCATAATTTTTTTTAAAAGTTACTGTTTAACAATATTTTAATATTCCTATTTTAAAGTATTCCTAGTTGTGGTATTTCCACATGGAACCATACCTTTGGAGATTTCTCAGCTGGTGTAATAAAAACCAGGAAGTAATATGAATGCTTCCCTTTGAAAGTAAACCTTAATTGGCACACTGACACTGTAACTCTGAGGGCTGTGGGTGCTAGGGATCAAATCCAGTCCCTCACATGTGGTAGACAAGTGCTTTACCAGCTATACACCCAGCTGTTCAGTATTTGAAAATGTAGGCTGAAGATCAATTTAATTTTTTTTTTAAGAAAATAAAAAGACAAAGTAAAGCTGGGTGTGGTGGTGCACACCTGTAATCCCAGTACTCAGAAGGCTGATAGATCATGACTTTAAGGCCAGCCTGGGCTACAGAGTGAGTTCAAGGTCAGTTTGAATTACAGGGCCAGACTGTCTCAAAAAACAAAAAAAGCTGGGCATGGTGGCACACACCTGTAATCCCAGCCCAAAGAGGCTGAGGCAGGAGGATCATTGCGAGTTCGAGACCAGCCTGGGATACAAAGTGAGCTCAATGCCAGCCTGACAAAGTGAGACCCTGTCTCAAAAAGACAAAAAAAAAAAAAAGTCAAGTAAAGTAATCCTTTATTTAAAGGAAGGAGTGAGGGGATGGGGATTTAGCTCAGCGGCAAAAGCGCCTGCCTGGCATGCGCAAGGCCGTGAGTTCGGTTCCCGGTACCGGAGAAAAACCAAAAAATAAAAAATAAAAAAAATAAAGGAAGGAGTGATATAAATCAGAAATACAGTAGTACCTCAAGACTCATTTGTTTGTTTTTGGTACCAGGAATGGAACTCAGGACCTTGAGCTTGCCAGGCAGGCAATGTGCACTGAGCTGCATCTCCATCCCCAAGACTCACTGTTAATTGGTTCTAAGGGGCACAATAAGTACCAAAACCAACCTATACCAAACCAACCGTTCGACTGGAAAGGGTAGTGAGTCACAAGGCAATCAACACCAACAATTTTAACTTACAGATCGAGTACCAAATTAGACAAGTTTCAAAGTAGTCAAGTACTGAGATATGAATGTAAGGATCTACATAAAAATATTAAGAATACTTATCCTGTAAATAAAACTGCATTTTCCCCTTTTTGCTTAATCTCTATTTATTTCCATGAAAATAATTTTTATGCAATTACTTTTTACAAAAAGTAAAGACGTACCCACAGTTCCATGCGTGTGTTGGTAATAAAGTTTTTAAACCAAGATAAGCTATACATAGATACTCATTTTCGCCCATTTAGAAAGTTTTCATTTAGTTTAGATGTGCATTTAAAATGGCTAACAGGTAGAAATTATTTTTTCTTTTCCTCCATTAGAAAATACCCACCTAAATACCCAATGATACATGCCAAAGGCTTCCTAGTGCTTTTGCCTTTCAGCGGACTTCCGGATAGTTCGGCATGTCTGTCTGCATCTGAGGAGAGAAAGAAACACGGAGACAACCAATGAGGTGGGTTTCTCTACCTATGCCACCCACACCGCAGAAATAAAAGGTGTAAGTGGAAAACAGTGCAAAATAGCTACTAGACTCCTGCATGATTTCCTTTTGGGTTTAGGATAACTGTTACTAGTTCTGCATCTCGATACTAGATCAGGGATTTACATGATCACTTTAAAGCCCCATGCCAATGTTACTAATACACATCACACACACACACAAACACACACACCCCTTCCTTGTGGCGTACGCCCACCTGAAAAGGGATGGAAATACCCTTCTTTTCTAGCCACGGCATTTCTATGGTCCAGCAGGAGAAAGCCCATAGCATGAAGTGAACCAGTCCTAACACACAACTGGTCAGGTTTGAAATAATGCTAGCTGACAACGGCAGCGCCTTCTGCCATCCCTAGGGTTTTCACTTGTCCTGGCAAAACTCAATTCTACTAGATGAGAGCCTGGCGAGATGCGTAACATGGCCGTTTGGGTTTATCATGGGTTCTCTACCCCGCCCGGCCTTCTACGATGGCACCTGTGCTGTAGAAGGTTACCCATGTGTAGAGGGCTTCACCTGTGAGAACAGTGAGATGTGATGAAAGTTTTGATCCCATATCTCATTCTCTATCATGACATTTCAGAGGAAGAAAAATAAAGCATATAACAGTGTTCTAAATTAACTGTCACTAGGAAGGAAGAATAGATGTGAAACATGCTTGTCTCTCATACCAAGAGTTGATATAGAAAGTTAGAAGAAAAAAAAATGTGTATTGAAACTTTCTTAAAAATCCAGATACTGTCATAAAGCTTAACAGAGTAGCTTTAGTTCATATCATCCTATGTTAATGTCTTTCCCCACCTTCAAATATTTGAGAAGAATGTCACACAGATTTTCTGATTCCACTAGAGAATTTTTCCTTTTGCATGTGAGCTCACTTTGCTAGGAATACAAAAAAGAAATACCCTTGGACAACCATAAGAATTCCCTGCACTATGATTGTTAAAATGTACAACTCAATCTGAAGCCTCAAATAATTTAAAGTAAAAATTGACTCTGTCATGAGCTCCATCCCTCTTTCTCCAAGGAAACATTTTCCTAGGCACTAATAAACAGGTGGGAGGGGCTGGGGGTTTAGCTCAGCGGCCAAAGCGCCTGCCTGGCAAGCGCAAGGTCGTGAGTTCGGTTCCCGGTACCGGAGAAAAACCAAAAAAATAAAAAAATAAAAAAATAAACAGGTGGGAAAAGAGCATTAAAAAAATTACAATTAGCACATACTGCAGAGCCTCAAACACTGGGAACCTGAGTTATGTACCTCAAGCACCAGTGAATTATCATGCGACCACTGACAACTGTAAATGATCCAATTCCTTTCCTCCTATTCAGCTGATTTCCTTTGGGGGAAAAATAAATTATAAAACTATGAAGCTTCTCACCTGTTGTTGAGTAATAGTGAAGACACAGGAAGAAATACTAATAACTGTATTTTGGAGGTATAATCTAATAAACATCACTAAGTGCCCCTAACCCTGCCAGGATCAAATATTAATACTACCTAATTTCTTCTTAGCATCGCTACTTCACTGAAAATTCAGGTTACATGGGAAAAGGAGAAATAAATAAAAGCTTGAATGAATCATGTTGGTTATTTCCTCAATTGGACAAAGGGAATTGCTGTCTTATAAGGAATAAGGCTAACTTTGCCAGTTATTTCAGTCTTCGAGGCCCAAAGGAAAGTGCCATTACAGCTGCAACTGACACACACTATCGCTTTGACAAGCATCAACTAGTCCATCTAAGGGGTCAGCAACACCATAAACCAGAGACACTTCATTCTAAACTATACTAAATTGCTCTTTTCATTAAATTAGCAGGATTAATTATATGATGTGCCAAGGGAAAACTCCTAGGGCTTCCGACAGAGATCAGAACTCTTCAGAAGGATCCACACTTCACTAATATTCATTATAAAGTAGTTGCTAACAAGAATTATCAGTCTCAATTACAAAGAAATCAAAGCAAAAGGTTCTAGGGCTGGGGATATAGCTGAGCAGCACAAGCGGCCTGCCTGGCAAGCACAAGATCCTGAGTTTCATTACTGGTACCAAAAAAAAAAAAGGCAGAGTAAAAGGGGCTACGATGACCTTGTCAGCTGAACCTAAGAAAAATGGCAGCTACCGTACTTAGTAGGAAGACTCCACTCTGCCCGCAGGGAATGACCATGGAGAGGGTTAGTGCGGAAAAGCACTCCTGGTTCTACTCAAGACCAAACGTGGTGCCACCTATCAGTCAGTCTTTGCTGCCAAATTACTCACCCATTTCTATTTAAATGGAAAGGCATTAAATGTGCACGGATAAGAAGCAACCTGGGAAACATCCAAAGAACTGACTAGTTTATTCAGAGATGGAAAACACCTGCCCCTCCAATCACTTGACTGGGCACAAGGCACTGCTGTTTTAGTTTTCTACAGAATACCTGTTTCCTTGAGGTAGGCATGGAAGAACACTGTCACTTTCACTGCAATAATGGCCAGTTTTCTGCAGTGTTTTGAAAACACTGGGGCAGATGAAGTGAAATCGAAAAGCCCCAAATACACGAACCGAGTCAAAACTCACAATAACATCTACATCAGCTTTCAACAGCCCAGTCAAAATAAAACCACTGATAGGATTTGCTTACAGAACTATAAAGGTATTTCTTAACAAGACACAAAACCCAGGCAGGTACTATAAAACAATTTGTTTTGTTTTTTTGAGACGGTCTTGTTATGTAGTTCAGGCTGGCCTCAAACTCGTGGCGATCCTCTTGCCTCACTCCCAAGTCCTGGGATTTCAGGCATGCGCCACCATGCCCAATAAAAACAATGTTTACAAATGATGTTAAAATTCAGCAAATGTAAACAAGTCAAAGACAAAATGAGGGAGACAATTGCATCACATATCTGATCAAAACTTAGTTAAGATATAAAAACTTCCTACAAGCCAAGACTTTTAATAGTAAATAGACCAGGGGCAAAAAACAGCTGACAGAAAAGGAAATACAAATGGCTTTCATAGGCATGGAATGATCTCTATGTCATTAGACGTGGGAAATGCAAGCTGAGAGAAGGTGCACCTTCCCCCACCAACTAGTCAAGCCCTTCAAAGGTGACTGATGCTGCGGGCACGATTCTAGAGAATCAGGTATTCTGGAGATGGGCTGAAATTGTAAACTGCGATTTTTCTGAGGGCAACCTTGCAACACCCATCAAAATCCAAAATGTATGTTCTAGCTAGACCCTCATATTTAGGGATCTACCTTATAAAACTGGTTTTTCAGGACTCTGGTTTCATCTGTGGAGCTGCTAACACATCTACTTCTACTTAATCTCAGTCCAAAGAGCCTGAACCTCAATCAGTGGCCATCCTGTGATCCGGTGCTTCGGTAATTCTGTGTGTTTTAGGCAGTCATCTGGTGACTGAAGGAAATGCACGGTGGCAGTAACAAAGAATGAACACCATTGTCACGGTGCAGCTTTCTCACTGGGGGGAGGACAGCCAAAAAGGAGATACAGTGTCTAAATATGATGACCCACCAGCTGTACTATTTAGGTACAAATCCCATTAAGGACACTGGTAATTTTCTTTATGCTATCATGGATTTGGGCTTACCAGCCTATTTTTATTTTTATTTTTTATTTTTTGTCTTTTTGAGACAGGGTCTTGCTATGCAGTTCAGGCTGGCCTTGAGCTCACTTTGTAGCCCAGGTTGGTCTCAAACTCACAACCATCCTCCTGCCTCAGCCTCCTGAGTGCTGGGATTACAGGTGTGCGTCACCACAGCCAGCTTACCAGCCTATTTTTAATGTGACAATCATCTTGGTAGAACTGGGTAGGACATTTTGGCAGACTTACATATTCACACATAAAAGTGTATTATTAAAATAAATAGGTACTTGGGAAAATTAGTTTTAAAAACACCTTTGCATAAATACAACTCATGTATTTTTTCTCATGCCTAATTTTTTCTCATGCATATTCTTTTTCTGGTACCAGGAATTGAACTCACAACCTCGTGCTTGCCAGGCAGGCGCTGTGCCGCTGAGCTAAATCCCCAGCCCCTCATGTATATTCTTAAATGTTGAGAATACTATGTACTTGAGGGGTTTTTGGAGATAAGGTCTTCTATACAGCCCAGGCCAGTGCTTCTCCTGCCTCAGCCTCCCAAGTGCTGGGCTTACAGGTGTGCACACCATGCCTGGTTTATACCGTACCGGTTTTTAAATTACTTCTTTAATGGGGAACATTTTCATTGTTCAAATTGAGAAAGCTTAACAGGATGAAGGAATCTCCCTTCCACTGGTGTATCTCCTTTCCACTCCTCCTTCCAGTTTCCCTTCCACTGAATATTATTTTATGAAGAGTCCCCTTTGTACTGTATTAAATGTCTTAGTACACATTTCTTCATGAACATAAACATCAAAGAGTATTTTGCAACCAATCAAAAATTTTTCCTCCAAGTAGGGATTCCCTCATAAATCGAGTACTCATAGCTATGAGCATGCTTTCCCTAAGCCACTTGAGTTTATGTCCTCTGCTTGCTGTTTCTCTCCAGCCTGTGACCCCATAAGCTCTGGCTATGACCTTGCTTGTGATGTTGCCACCAAGGCTAGAAGCCACGAAAGGGGTTCCCCAATACTTAATTTCTACAGTACTTATTTTTTAAAAAAAGTCTCAAACTCAGAGTTAACAATTTTCTCTTCTCGACATAAAGATTATTCTAAAATGCACTAATCAGAACTTTTAGTCTATCAATATTGTACAATTACAAACTTCCACCTGATCTCAAAACATTCACACTGCATTATAGTCATCCAAGTTTTTTCAAGGGGAGCAGGAGCCAGGGAAAGCTTAATAAAAATATATGTACCTATTCGTATCTCAAAGACCACAGACTCAGTATTCTAGACGTCAAGTTAACGCCTAACCTTCTTACTAACAAGGTAATATTAAGGCATCTGCTGCAGAGGTTAGACAAGCTACATATAAGGGAAAAACTGATGCAAGAATCAATCAGATGGTAGGAAAACGTTCATTAGTTGACTGAAAACAAAAGTAACTGAGTGGATGGCTGCTCAAATGCTATAATTTATTCAATTTTTCAGGTAAAATTAATTATTCTAAGAATAGGATTTTATGTAGACCTCATGGCCAGTGAAGTAAATATAAATAAAACAATTATGTTCTTTGAATCTCATCCCCCAAAATAAATTCATTAGTATTTTCCAGAAGCATGCAGAAATAAAGTACAGGTAATTTAAATCTCTCTCTCTCTCTCTCTCACACACACACACACACACACACACACATTTTTTTAAAAAGCAACATAGCCCCTTATAGGCGGGAAAAAGTTAAGAGTAATGTGCCAGAAACACACACTTTACTCAAAGACGTGTGAATGAAATGAAAATTAACAAAGAGCCAAGGGAATAGCAGCTATCTCAGTAGCCAATTAGGTTGGTTGTAGTTTCTTTCCCATTACAGAAAGAATGACACTGGATCTTCAAATTTAATGGAAGAGCTGTGATCACTTTCTTTCCCATGTTCTAATCGTTCTAAGAAACTATATGTAAATGTACATGTTTACAATCAACTAAACAATTTGGATCAATATTTATTTTCCAGTTGCTTAAAATGGGTGTAATAAAGTGATAATGTAAGTCCATGAACTCAGAAACTCTAGGTCAAACCTAAAGTAAACCTAAATTCTCAAGTAGACATGAATGTAATGTGGCTCCTTCTCCCTGCATGAGACACTGACATTACCACCAATTTCTACTCCCTTTACAAAAGATTTTTCTTCTTACACAGCTTTTACCAGTAACTTTTCAACTTTCAATTTTCTGCTGAAAATTATCTTCAGAAACAAAAAATGACTCTTCCAGACATCACTCCTTTCATGGATATTCGCTTCAAATCAAAGTGGAAAATCTCATTATACAACTTCTTATATCACAGATAAAGTATCTGAATCCATTTAAGGTTTCCCATCTAAAGTCAGATAGCAAGTTATCTTATTCCTTAGGGAGGGAAAAGTCTCGTTCACACGGCTCTGCTAGCCAGGACCACCACTCCAAAGCTAACGCACCAATTCTGTACACACTTCCACATACAGGGTAATGACAGAACAACCCTCAATTCCCTGGTACATATGACCTTTGTTCTAACAAAAACAGGAAACATAAGCAAGGCTGCATGTGTTGGAAACAAGAGTGATGGGTTATGTGTGCTGCGTGATTATGAAGTAGAAGCCAAACTCAACAGACTACTCGACCACAAATTTAGATGCTAGCTGAAAAACTAAAAACATACTTTCAAAAAATTCACCCAAAATGATTTCAAAGTTTATTTATAATTTGATAAACCTAAAAAATACAGCATTTGTTAAGAAGCCCTGTGAATTTCCATAACGTCGTATGACTGTAAAGATTTCCTGGGAAAACGAGGAGTTTACAAAGACATCCAATTTCTAATGAGTATGAATTAATAAACTTTATTTAAACCTAATGAATCCACATACAACTGGACATGCATGCTGCCTCAATTAGGGAGTTTCCCTGGAACACCATCCTTAGGAGTTATTCCGTGACACTGCCTAACAGACAAAAGTGCTTCAGTAAGAGATCTTTCGGCCATTCCATCACAAAACCCCACTGGACAGTTCACCTCCCACCCCTCTTCTGCTGAGCGCTACTCTCACAGATACTGAGGTTTCAATGCCCACCCCCGCTTGGCATGATACAAATGGCAGCAGACAAAAACAATGTTTAAAAAAAAAACCAAATAAAAGGCTGTACACAAGAACTTATGTTTATTGCAAACAAACAAACAAAAAAGGGAAAGAAAGAAAATGGTCAGAAAAGCACAACATGTAAAGTTAAGAATTTAAAAACGTCTTACATTCTGCCCTAATGGCAGCATAATTAATAGCAACAAACGGACGTCTTGCTGCCTGCCGCAACCGGAGGGTATTTTTGCAGACCTGACGAGCAAATTTTGTGAAATACGTCGTGTGCAGGAAGAAAGCTTGGCGGGTCTTCACTGCAGACTTCGGGCTCCCCGTGTTTCGGACTGGCATTCCCTGCATGGCCTGCCGGGACAGGTGACTTCTAACTCGGGCGTCCTGCAAATCACAAACAACAAGCACTTACAGAAGAGAACGTGTCCAAACACAATACCATCTGCGTCACGTTACGAGAAAGTCTGACTGCTGCATCATTGACTGAAGCCTCTATAACCTACCTCTAAAAAGACACTTAAAAGTGCGCGCTTTTGGGAGAAACGTGAGAACAGAAGGGAGCTGGGAGGGGATGTAAACGATAATCCAAAATCACACACATAATAGTACGAACTTACAAAGGGGTTAGTTTTTTTTATTATTAAGGAGTCTTGAGATCAAATTCTCACTAAAAAAGAAGAGTCTCCCTTTGCTAAACATAGGTGCTTGACATCCTCAATCTACAAGGATTTCACCAAAATCATATTTCAACTATTGCTCACCTCACAATTGAGTCCAATACTTTCTTGCCCCTCCACAACAGCCAGGGAGAGAGAAAATGTTCAACTTGTGTTTACTACTTTAAATAATACGTTTTCAACAGTATCTAAAGGTTACAAACTGTTTTCCAAAGCAATTACAACAAACACCTAATTTGTAAAGGCTCTACGTATGCTAACGCTGCCCACAGACATTATTCTTTTGTTTGAGCGATCTCACAAGATCAATATTTTGAATACCTGAAAAAAATTGACTTCTCCTTGTTCCTCTTTCCACACCCACCCTGAATAACGCAGCGCTACGGTTAGCTATAAAAATAGCCTTGTTAATTTTTAAACTCTGCTATACGGTACTCCTCTTTCCAAGAAACAAGCCAGCTACTGAGAAGCATGACATTTCCCAGCACTGAGCACCACTGTCATATACCTCTGCAGATGGGCTGGGAGACAACTTCTCTTCTTCTGACTGGGTGGGCATTTTTAGGCCTCCGTATTTTTTCCAATACAGCCAACAAGTTGCACACAATCTACACTGCATGTTAGGTGGGCCCCAAGAATACCACTGGTGAGACTGTGTTGCTAAAAACGGAGGGGGAAAAAAAGAGACTATGAATTTTGTGACATCAACAGAAACAGAATCCAACATCCCCAAAATATTCTAAAGCTGCTCTTAGTTTACAATGTTAGCTTTTCTTTCTCTAGTTTATAAGCCAAACATGAAAGTACAACATATACATGTATTTTCCAATACTCAGAATTCACGAAAGCACCGATTTCTACTAAGTACTGATAGCCTGTGCCATCTAACAAAGGCTATCAGGTGAAGAGTCTTGTATTATACACTGTTCTGCTCAGGGAGGTTTTGTTCTATTATTTTAAAATGCTTTAATTACATATCTGGAAGTAAGTTTTCAGGTATGATTATGATCTTGGGGAGGGGGCAGGGTCTCACTATGTAGCCCAGGCTGGCCTTGAACTCATGGGCAATTCTCCTGCCTCAGCCTCCTGGTGGCATTACCAGGCATGTGCCAGTATACTGGGCTAATTATTATTAGTATTTAAATCTAAATCCAAGTTCCCAAGTGAGCTCAGAAAGCACCTCAGGGCTTATTTAAGGTGCTCAGAGGGAGCTCCATTGATAAAACCAGGAACTTAATAGAAATCGTAATCTATTTGCCATTCCTTTATCTTAATCAACAGACAAAATACTTTAATTTCTTCCTATGAAACCAGAATGTCTTTCAATACTATAAAGCACTATCAAGTGAGCATGTGCAGCTGATATCACAACACATTTTAAGACCCAAGATGCAGGTGATTTACTGCTTGGCTGCACACTTCAAGCCTGTGTTTGTTCTGCTTCGCAGTTTAAACTCCTGCCACGTAACATTAAAAACACTCACCATGGGTCTGAAGTTTAAAAGAAAACACTGGTGCTGAAACATTAGGTTAATGAAGTATATAAAAACCATTCTAACTGCAACTGCCTTGGAAGTTTTCCTCTGATACCTTCATCAGATCAAAATGTTCACACAGTGCACTGAAGGAATTAACTAACCCCTCACAAAGCAGTGTCAGTAAGAGTGAAACACGGGCTGGCATGTGGCTCTGTGGTAGAGCACTTGCCTCACGTGGAGGGGGAGCATAGGGAAGAGGAGAAGGGGAGACAGAGAGGGACAGAACACACAGCATAGGCCAGTGAGAACATGTGGATTTAGCATGTGTAAGGCCTTGGCTGGGCCCATAGACCCTCCCCACAAAAAAAATATTAAAGAAATACAGTGACCATTACATTTAAGGTTTAGCTTCTTGGGAGTAATACATGTACTCATTGTTACGTTATTTTGGGGAACTTTCTAGAAACCAGAAACCTTTCTTCTTATTTAAAACAAGTCAAAATGGGACCAGGGAAATAGCTCAGTGGCATAACTGCCTGCCTGGCAAGTGCAAGGTCCTGAGTTTGAGTCCTGGCACCAAAATAAATAAATCAATCAAAGCCAGGTGTGGGGGCACACACCTGTATCCCAGCAGTTGGGAGGCTGAGGCAGGAGGATTGCTGTGTGTTCAAGGCCAGCCTGAACTACAGAGTGAAACTCTGTCTCAAAAAAAGAAACAACAGGGGCTGGGGATTTAGCTCACAGCACAGTGCCTACCTGGCAAGCACAAGGTAGTGAGTTCGATTCCCGGTACTGAAAAAAAAAAACAAAAACAAAAAACAAAAACAAAACAAAAAACAAACAAAAAAGGGAACAGCCGGGCATGGTGGTGCATGCCTGTAATCCCAGCACTCAGGAGGCTGAGGCAAGAGGATCGTTGTGAGTTCAAGGCCAGCCTGGGCTACAAAGTAAGCTCAAGGGCAGCCTGAACCACATAGCGAGACTTCATCTCAAAAAAGAAAAAAAAGAAAAGAAAAAGAAAAAAAAAAAAAGGAACTCATTTGACAAAAATTTCTATTGTTAAAAAATTTTATGTGTATATTAAAATATTTTATGACAGCAATTAGTAATACCTGGATAAAAATAAAATCATTTATTTGTTATACACATAAAGTGTCAATAATTATTTGAAGGAATATATATAAGTGGGAATGGGCCTGAAGTAAAAAAATAGTAAGTAAATAAAATTTATTAGACATGGTAGTGCACACCTATAGTCCAACTACTTAGAAGGATGAGGCAGGAGGACAGTGTGAGCCCAGGAATACAAAGTCAGCCTGGGACCGTAACTAGATCTTGTCTCACAAATGATTAACCTAATACCGTTTGTCTTTAGGGTTCTGTTTTACTTTCATTCAAATATACATGAACTTCAAAATTCAAAATTCCCAACTCAAAGACACTTATGATGCTATTCATGTAAAATCCACACCCAAGAATCTAGTTTTCCTCGGTGCTCCCATAGTGCAGAAAACAGCTCGACACATCCTGACGCCCCATTTCTACAAAGTCAGCGTCTGCCTGGCTCACACATGCCTGGGCACTGACAGAGAATTATGGGACTAGGTCTTTAAAGCCTTTTTGACTGCTGATGCCTGGTGAGGAGTCAGGAAGGCCCCACGCTCCTGTGTCCTTATTAAGGCAGGAAGAGGCAATCTACCTCCAAAAGGCTGCTGGAAGCCAAAGACTGGGCACAGCAGACATGCAGTGAACACTAGATGCCTTCTTTCTTCTACCCTAGGCCACCGTGACACGCACGATGTCACCAATGTCCCACTGAGAGATTATACTGTTGCTTGAGATTGGTTGGTTGGTTGTTTGGTCAGCCACTCATTCATTCATTCATTCAATGGAAATAGGGTCTTGCTATGTAGTCCAAGCTGTTCTTGAACCCATAGCAATTCTCCTGCCTCAACCTCCCCCCTCCCAAGTGTTAGGCATGTACCACCACGCGTGGCTGTTGCTGGAAATTTGAAATGAACATACCAATTACCCCCACTTACTCCCCAGGGCACTTATAACACAACACTGCTAGTGGAGATAAATACAAATAGGCCCTGAGGCCAAAGAAAGTATCACAGAGCAGCATCTCCCAAACTGGTGCCCTGAGGATTATAAACAGCGGTTTATTCACATACAGGCTTTCCCTGCAGAATTATGGGGCACTTCTGTCAAAGGACCTAGAGAAACTCGAAAGGGGATTTAGCATGTATGTATTTTGGGACTGTGGTTCGGGCAAAGCTAATACAACTCTGCACACAGTTTAGCAAACACTGCCATCAAACACTCACAAATATGCAGCCCCAAGAAGCAAATCGAAGGACACTCAACGCCTCTCCCCAGTATACACAGAGAAACACTTAGTGAGAGGCCCTCTGTTCCCGGCAGAAGCAGGGATGGGCATCTACTCACTCCGAAGACGCACTGCCAGCCTCCGTGCTGTACGGAGCACACAGTTCCCAGAAGCTGTTCGCCCTCCCACCGCGCAGGGCAGAGGCGGTCCCTGCACTCAGCCCAGCACAGGCCTCACAGGGCAAGAGACAGCCCTGCTGAAGCACACTTACCGTAGCAGCTCTCACAGGCGCGACCTAAGAGGGGATTCTGGGGCTGGAACGTGCTCCCCACAGCTCCATTCACAGTGCCAGGCTTGCCATTGCTGGTGGATATTTGGTTGGGATTTGGTTTGCTGCTTTCAATGAAATGTAAAGTGAGGTGATAAAAATGATTTGTGTAACAAGACAAAAAGCTCAGTATCTCCTTAGGAATTTACCTTAACTAAACAGAAATAAACTGCTAAAACAAGGTGTTAAAATGAACCCGCTCATGTTTGCAGAACAAGGCTATGTAATAACCAGTCTCTTGTGCCTGACCCTTTCCCAGTAAAAGCAGCATCTCCGTCTATCCAAAGGCACTTCAATCCTTACACCGTCCTCAGATGCTTGTAAAAGATGCAAGTTACTAGGTTTCACCATTCATCATAAATTCTCCTGAGAAAATAACAATTTGGATCAAATAACTTGAGCTAAAGACAGCATCGTGTAACTGCAGAAATCAAGCCGCTGCCCTCAAGGCGGCTCGAAAGGGAGTGGCACCAGCACCACGAGCGAGCGCCACAGTGCCTCTCCCTGTGGCCCGCCGGGCTTTTTCAGAGATCCCGACCACCTGTCCTATTCCTATGACAACAATTCCCAATATGTCTGAATTTCTATGAAGATTAAATAGCATTTAAAATTAGAAAAATCAGTAATTTTGAGATTTAAGCTTTTTCTTTTTAACAAAATCATTTTTAGGAAGAAAAAGGAGGCATCTATCAAGAGTCTACATGCAAATTTCCTAGAGATGAAACCAACATAACCACTAATTCTTCAGAAACACACAGTCCAAACAAGTTGGTGCTTACTCTGCAAACAGGCTAACTCCCTGCGATAAGCCAGGCCCGAGAACACCGCACAGGTGCACCTGGCATGCACAGTTTAGCCAGCATGTATCTATTTAGAGTCTAGTAAATACAAGTCTTTGGCCTCAAGGAGCTTTGTTCTAGAAAACCTTTCATATCTATTTTCTAGACAGAAAATAAGCACAATTAGTTAGCAAATTTAAAAATGAATACTGAGTGAATAAATGGAGACTATGCTCTGTGTGCAAACTATGTTCTCTCTTTCCATGGCCACTGAAGCAATGAGATGTCACAGCTATCAAGAAACGTGGAATCTCAACAGAGTTGGCTCAGGGATTTCCTCCTTCCACAATGTGACTTAACATGCAAAGCCCAGGGTGCAAACTTGGTTTGGCCTGGGAACACACACCTTATTTCAGGTTTCCTTTCAGCAGTGTTACTGTAACTCTCAGGTGACACCCTCACCTCCACCCCCAGTAGTCCTCTAACTTCTGTGTGTACTCAGGTCCCAGTTTTGTAAGAAAGAGCTGTTGTCTACACTTCTAACTTGTGTCAGCAGTGCATTCTGAAAACAATACATTTCTTATTTTTACAGCGCTGGGGATCAAACCCAGGGAGTCACAAATACTAGTTTTTATCACAATTGATACCACTACACTACAGTCCCAACCCTGACAAATTGGTTTTTGTTTTTTTTTTAAAAGTATTAAATCAGACAGAAGGTGTTTTCTCTTAGTTTTCAGCTAAAAATGTACAAAATGAAAAAGAGTGGTTTAGAATGACTAAGTTTTCTAAGGATACATAATATTTATTTAAACTTTTAAAAAATATTGTATGCCAGATATGGACGCACATGCCTGTAACCACAGTTACTCAAGAGGCTGAGGCAGAAGGATCACAAGCTTGAGGTCTTCCTACGCAAGTTAGTAAGACCCTGTCTCAAAATTTTAAAACATTTTAAAGGGGTTGGTGGGGATATAGCTTAGTGCTCCTTGGCATCACTTCCTAGAAACGCCAAAACAAACACACAAACAAACAAACACCTACTATATCGAGAAATGACTACTCCTTGAAGCCAAATGATTGGCTAGAGGTTTTTCAGAAATATGCACACTACTGACATTTAAAACAGAGCTAAATACAGCTAATAAAAATTTACAGTCGAACGGTCTGAAAAAAAGCAAATACAAATTTAGTTGCTCAAATGAATCTAAAATGTTACTTGACTAAATGAACCACAGATTCCTCCCACCCACCCCATCCCACCAAAGTGGGAACTGAAGCCATGTCCTGCACCTGCCAGGCAAGGGTTTTATCAATGAGCTATATCCAGCTTTCTTTTCGAGACAGAATTAGACTAAGTTGCCAAGGCTGGCCTTAAAATTTGTGCTCCTCCTGCCTTAGTCTCCTAAGGAGCTAGGATTATCAGTGTGTGCCACCATGCCCGGGAAACTACTGATCTTAACTATAATAACAAAAGGAAAACAAATGTGTCAAAATCACATGTACACTTTTGAATCACTTAAACCATCTCTACAAAACAAAGTACTTAAAGATTAGATCTAAGGGGACAAATGATGGCTGTCATTGTGACAATGTGTAAGACAAACATAAAAACATCTTCATAGATACACCAATGGATGGAGGTAGCTGAATCTAGAGTTTGTGACTGATTCATGGTTCAATGCTAGGATTCAAACAAACAAGCACCGCCCCCACAAAGATACATTACATGAACGTGCCCCTCTGGGTGTATCTACCACCCAGAGTCTCTCCTTATTTCTAGTGCAGATTCCAACCCTCTAAGCCTCCTGAGCACTGTGTGCGCTTGATCCTCTTCCCTAAGAGCCGTCTCATTACACGCATCTCCCCCACTGCCGCCCCTCCCTCTCCAGTGTCTGCATCCTTGGCTCAAAGTCTCAAGGACCCCATTAAAGATCACCGTCATCTCAATGCTGCTATTTATCAGCGCCACCTGAGAGTGTTAATCTCCCTCCCTCGCTACAACATCTTCCTCACAGCTCCTATGTTACTGTGCATACTTGACTGTCCTTTTTAGCTGTAATACTCTATTTTGGTTTATAAATACTAGATTTACTCAAGGATTGGCGAAGGCCCTTTTCTTGTTGCTGTCCCTCAGAAATCTTTATCTATGGTTTGAAATATTTATTATTGCATGCCGCTTAAGCTCACATTTGTAGCTCTACCTCATATTATTTGCCCGAGTTTAAGACAAATCTATTTAATATGCAGATATATTTAGTAACATATTAAACATACTTAATGTGTTATCAGAATACCCAATGTGCTTTCTTCTGATAGGAGACTGTCTTATTAACCTTACCACTGCTAGTACTCAACAGAATGCTTGGAGTATAGAAGACTGCCAGGCTCAAAAACCAGAAAAAATCATTTTTAATTTAGAGTATTTTTTTAAACATTCTGTTTCAGAGATAATTTGGAAATACATCAAAGGTCTCAGACCCTTATCCAACTCAGTAACTCAGCTGAGTATTTTAACAATGTACATGGGCTAGGGATATAATTCAGCGGCACAGCCCCCTGGCTTGGCAAGCGCAAGGTCTTGAGTTTGATTCCCAGTTCCAAAAATAAAATAATAAAACAATATACAAATAAAAGTATGATTAGAAACTGCCTTGCTCTCTACTCTAAAAATAACTACTTAGATCAGGGATCAGAAAACGTTTGCTATAAGGGGCCAGAGAGTTCAGTATTTTAAGTTTTGCGGCTGATATCATTCTGTAGCAACCTCTTAATTCTGCCATTGTGGGCCTAAATCAGACTAAAGATAATGCAGAAACGAAAAGTATGTCTATGTTCTAATAAAAATTTACAAAAATAGGTACCAGCTTAGATTTGGCCCATAGACTATAGATTTGGATCAAGACACAAGTCAATGTAAAAGTCAAGTAAAAAATTATTTGAGCTGCTTGGTCAAAATGGTTAAATGTACTATCCTTCAACAGAGAAAGCAAAGTGAGGTGCAAGGAAGCTGCTCTGTTTGTTTTTGAAAATCTAATACACAGGAGTTCCAACGGTACACTCCTTAGGAGTGTCAGTTTCATGTAATAGTCAAATAAAATACATAATTTAAGTGGAATTAAAAACCACTCTGCAGAAGAGATATAATTATGGAACAAGAAAAATACATATTTTTACAAATTAAACAAGTTATCTGCATTAAGGTGAGAAATTAACATGGAAGGTCACTCGTCGATTCCATAAGCTCTCCTATTTGTAAAAACATGTACTACACAATACACAGGAATTCAGTAAAAAGGGTATGTAAAGTAAAAATATTTAGCTCTAAGAATGAGAAAAACTCTTGGAACAACACGTAAGTTATGTAATAAATTTCATTTCAATCCCAAGAGATTCTAGAGTAGTACTACACACATGGTGTTCAGTAAGTAAATTTTATCGGAACAAAGGAACGATCAAACCCTGAACATCTCCCCAAAAGGACAGAGTAATTTAGCTAAAATGCAGCAAACGAAAACTGGCACTCATTTTGGTATACCAATGACTTGTAAACTCAAAGGATAATAATATAACACTGGGCACCTAAAACAACTGAATCCTATGTATTCTTATTAAACATTCACAGTAAGTATGGTTCTAATTTTCCATGAGTAGAACCAAGACAGTAACATAAAGTTGGAGACAGGGCCTTTCTATGTAGTTCAGGCTGGCCTGGACTCACCATGTAGCCCAGGATGGCCTCAAACTGTGACAATACTCCTGCCTCAGCCTCCTGAGTGCTGGGATTACAGGTGCCACCACGCCCGGCTCACAGGTTAGTTTTCTGACTTTCCCTGAAGCTCTGATAAAAGTACAATGCATGGCATTCTTTATTTCTAGCTTCATGTTAATCTGCTTGTGGTCCCTCTCACCCATTTCTTTTTCTTTTTAAAAACCTATGTGGTTGTATAAAAAATAAAAATAGAAAGGCTCATGCTTTGTAGGAAAAGAAAGTAATAAAAAAAAAAAAAAAAAGGAAAGTAACATACCCAAAGAAATTCAAATTTACCTACACTGAACAAAATGACATGTTTTATAACGGTAAGACCAAGGAAATATTGTAAAAGATTTCAATTACTTACTAAGTTGGGATATATACTTGTTTCAGTTTACTCTCAGCTTCTGCAGCTTTTAGACGTTTCTAATTCAAAAGATGAATGAAATATTTTACATGCAATGACCACTTCATTGTCTTAAAAATTCACAAGAAAATAAATATTAAAGCATAATTTAAAAACTTCCATTGTAAAATAAGCTTTTCTTTCATATGCATATCCTTAAACTGCAGTAACCTGTGAGAAAAGTCACTGGATTCTGGGCTATGCAACTATAAATATTATCAATTTAAACAGATTTTTGAAACAGAACAGCGAATAGCTCCATTTCCCATTCTACCATGGGAAAGTAAAAAGGAATTTTTTTCACTCTGGAGATTGAACAGAGGCCTTTACACACTAATAAGCCTGTACTCCACCACTGGGCAACACCCACAGTCCCACACAAGACATTCACCATTTTATTTCACAAATTTAGTTGCTACTTTATTTCTTACTTACCTTTGTAGGAGAAAGAAAAAAAAGCACAAAATCTTTGCTTTTAGACAAATATTCAGATATAATTAGTTTCTAAATCCAAACAAGGGACAGAGATTGTATTTACTGTATGTAAAATTAAATAAGCCTTTATCCTTACATGTTGGAAGGGGAAGGAATGGGACGGAGACACCGATTAACACAATAAAAAACGGGGAAGGAAAGTAATAGAAAGTCAATGTACAAAAGTAAGACAAAACAGACATAAGGCTATCCTTCTTTTTCCCAATCAGAGAAAAGAAAACACGTAAGTGATAGCCGGAAACTTTTAGAACAGAGTTGAAGTTTCAGGGAATAATGTTTTTCCAAATATTTTCAACCATTCTTCATGTCACTGTCTCTAATCTTAGGGGACTCCATTTGAGTAATACAATTTTCCAGATTACATCACTTTCTCTTCTAACCAACGTGATTCAAACAAGCACCTTTTTGAATTATATATGATACTGACAGTAGAAATTGCTTCATGGGCAACAGATACCTATTCCTTTTTCATGACCGTAAGCAATTCATTATGGCACATTCTAAAGTGATCCTTAAAATATATTTGGTCAACACCCAATATGTGCCATTGTGTAACCTACACACATAGAAAAAATAATGTCTGTGTTAAGTCTATTTGCCTTTCTTCATCCGTTCTGATATGTGACTGTAAGAATATAAAACTCAGGTCATTTTAGGGAACTATGCCTTTCCCCAAAGGTAATTATTATTCCAAATAAGTAACAGAATTACTTGGGTTTAGAACATTTGGAAAGGACTCAAAATTTAATTGAGTCTCTCCTTTGAAATAATCTTGGAGAAGAACCTTAAGTATAGTAGCAAAGAATCAAACTAGTAAAACTAAAATAAAAACAAACTCAGGATATTAGCCACACAAATGTCATGTAAGGAGGGTTTAGAAGATATTAAAAAATATCTCAAGTATAAAGTTGATGACATTAGTCTTAATTTCCAATATTTCATAAAAAGTTTGTTCAATATGTTTGTTGCAATCCCTGGTACTAAAAAACAAACAAACAACAACCAAAAAAAGACAACAAGATGCTTGCTGCAGCACCACTTCTCTGCTAATTCTCATCAACTGCACTTGCAAACAGATGAAGCACCAGTCAAGCGCGAGGAAAAGCACACCTCTCTAGTGTTATCTTTCTCTGTCACCTTTGAAAAATACTTATCAAAATAAATGCTGAGGGCTGGGGATATAGCTCAGTGGCATAAGCGCCTGCCTGGCAAGCACAAGGTTCTGAGTTCAATTCCCGGTACCAAAAAAATAAAATAAAATAGAATAAAATGCTGAATTCAAGGACATATCAAGATGAACATCTAAAAAAGAATATCCTAGAGATATGCTATCATGCAGTTTACATAGCCTAGAAAAGACAAAGCGAACTAATTTAAAATCAGTGCACCGCTAAAAAACAATGAAGTTCAACGCAATCATGCTGGTGACAAAATGAAAAACATTACCTGCTGCACGTATCTGTCAGTAGTTTTCCACATGTAGTAATATTCAATGATGCTAGTCAATGATTTCCAAGGGAGCTGAAAAAATATTTAACATGATAATGAAAATAATTCTGCATAGAAAGAGCTTTCCTTTGTTTTTTTTTTTTTGGTTTTTCTCCGGTACCGGGAACCGAACTCACGACCTTGCGCTTGCCAGGCAGGTGCTTTTGCCGCTAGCTAAATCCCCAGCCCCCAGAAAGAGCTTTCCTTTAACACTTCTTTTAAGGCAAATATTCATACGGAAGACACTGTAGAAAAATTTATTCTACAAAAAATGTTTCAAGAAAACCAAAATTCTTACCAAAAGGTGCCCCAAACAAGAAGTTCTATTCAGTAAGAGATTCAATATATCAATTTCAATTTAAAGTTATAAACATGAAGGGGAAGGATTCGCATGATTTAGGACAGTACTCAGGCTACAAGTACAGCACCATTTTAAAAACGCTATTTAAATGGCTTTAGCCTGAGTTGCTTTAACTTCCAAGGATAACAGCCACAACTGAGTGTCTTTTGGCTCCTGGCATATTTCTCATTGTTTTCATAACCATTCTATTTTGACCTATTTTGTTACAAATAAAACAAAAAGGTAACTCTCTGAAAAAGAACACAGCCAAGTGTGCTTTTTATTAGAAAAATATTGCTTGCTGTGTTTGTTTCCCATGAACATTCAAAAATGGCCAAATGAAATCCTCTTCATTAGCTCTGCAACCAAAGAATACATTCAATACGCCCCTCTGTGAAGGCAGCTCTGTGAGCTGTCCAAAATGCAAAGGAAGGCAGATCAGACTTTCACGATTATGACATGAATGGTTGATAAAACAATCTTTGAGCTGTGGCGGCAGATTTTACAGACTCAGTTCTCTGCCCTCCACCAAGCTTTTCTACCACACTGTAACGACGGGAGAGAGTCAAACAGTATTTTTTATATTTTTTATAGTTGGAGGTTTGCTTATGGCCCCCTGATAAGGTGCACAATTCCTCTCAATCCTCACTGAACTTACCTGTTTGGGCTGAAGAGTAAACAGATGAATTTTAGAAGAAGAAAATTATTTCAAGATTAACTGGGCAGCAACTCTAACAGTAGCTACAAATGTGGTCAACCCACAGGACCAGAACAGTACAACTACTAGCTCTGAACTAGCTAAAGAGAACAGTTTTTATTTTGCTTTTTAAACCTCACGTGTTCATTTCGCAGAGCGCAGCAAGACCTGACAGGACAGTCACAGCAGTTTCCTAAGGATTTTAAGCAAGCTGAAAATCATCAGCTTGCCACCTATCCTACCATCTATCCCTTTTTTGAGAAATAGGCCCTGGTATGCATTTACCTGGAAACCTGAGAGAAGGAAGGCCAAGTGAAGAAAACCTGAATGAAGGGAAAGCCTGTAAAAACTGAGCTTCACTGTGAACTGTATCTTAACCAGTGCAGAGAGTTCCCATCAGCTGTGTGTACCGCCAGCACTCTTTCACTGAGGAGATGTGGTAGGCTGCGACGGCTACATCAGAGGGGCATCCTGGAGGGTCTCTCCATCCCCACCGACAGCACTGTGGGAGTTCCCTGTGACATATGCACTGAGCAGGGAAAAATCTCAATGTGGCTGGCAGTTTTGAATGATATACTGGTATCTGCAAGAATTATACCGCTGCATTTCAGCCTCATGCATAGTGGCCCTGAAGCACAGTGCAAAAGGAAGACCCTTTGGGTTATTAGAACATAAAGGTGAGGGGCTGGGGATTTAGCTCAGCAGCAAAAGCGCCTGCCTGGCAAGCGCAAGGTCGTGAGTTCAGTTCCCAGTACCGGAGAAAAACAAAAACAAAAAAAAAAAAAAAAAAAAAAGAACATAAAGGTGAACATCTGGTTTACTAGTTTCAATGCAAGGCAAGATGGCCTCTTAAAATTACAATCAAAAGCACTTCAGCTAATACAAAACTGTTAAGCAGCAGCACAATGTTCTAATAATAGATCCTAGATCTGTAGTATTGACTGACAAGAGTCAAGGTGGAGCAAAAACAGGCACAACTGGTGGGAGAGGCAGCAGACGCGGTGGTGGGATTTCTGCAGGCACAGGCCACCGCACCGTTAGACTGCACTCTTGGCTTCACTGCTTCTGGCTGTGAAGCATCTAAACCTGGATTATAGCCCCTCCAGGAGGTTCTCTTATGCTTCTAGCTCCAAGCAATACACTTTGTTCTGCAAACTAGTGCAGTCAAATGGATTCTGTTGTCTCCCTCCAATCATGGCTTGTTCAGTGCCTCCTTCCTGCATATTCATTAGTTTGCTTTCCTATACTGCAAAAGCTGTAATCCTTTCTGGAAGCTCTTTGCCATTTATTTCTGCTGATCAGATACATGTGTCTAGACCCAAATTCAAAACTGAACTAAGCAAGGTGGGGTTGGGGATGCGGTTCAGTGTCAGAGCATTTGCCTAGCATATTCAAGGCCTTAAGCTCAATCCTCAACACTTGCAATAATAATAATAATGAAATTACCTATTGAGAAACAAAGGTCATAATCTATAGTTATAACACATGCATAAAACATCTTACAAAATTCAACATCTACTCAGAAGAAAAACTCAATAGAACTAGAAGGGAATTTCCTCAACTCAACTACAAGGACCATCCAAAACACCTATAACCTGATCTCATACCTAACAGTAAAGAAAAAATACAAAACACTGGACTTCGTGTGTATGCTGGTAATTGAACCCTGGGCCTGAGGCATTTGCCTACCATTTGCCTAGCATACTTGAGGCCTTAAATTCAATCATCAACACTTGCAACAATAATAATGAGCTTACTGAGCTATATCCCAGCTCAATGTTTTAAAATATCAAACACGTAACATATATTCAAATGGGAAAAGCAGGACATTGGAATTAAAAATAACAATGTTTATTTCTGAGAAGTGTGGTGATAAAACTTAAAACTGACCATTATGATACAGTTGCTCAGGGCTCAAGTACAGTTCCAATACTGAAAGCAGAAAACATGAAGAGTTTATTTTGCACCTACTACCTGATCATTGCTAGAGAAAACACTTACTAAAATCTCTGAGCAGGACAGTGCCCCCAACAACATCATGTACATGTGACGGCATTGTAGGCTGTGTGTGTGTGGTTTTTTTCATGTTCTACTGAAGTATACATAATACTTTTTTGGGGGTACATAATACTTTCAAAAGCGAGGAAGCTAGTTTTGATGTGTGCCTGTAATCTGAGACAGCACAATTCAGTGACTTAGACCCTATCTCAAAATGTAAAATTTAAAAAGGGGCTAGGGATATAGCTCGTTGTGAAGGCTGCAGGTTCAATGTCCAGTATACTCAAAAAGGAGGCATGGTGGCATGTGCCTGTAATGCCGGAAATGTAGAAGTTGAGCCAGGAAGATCATGAATTATGAGTCCAGCTAGCACATCTTAGTGACTGAGCAAGACCTTGTCTCACACACACAAAAAATGTGCTAGGGATACAGCACTCAGTGCACAGGACCTAGGTTTAATTCTGGATACCAAAATGAATGAGTGAGTAACAACACTAAAAGTACCCACTACTACAAATAAACACCAAAACTCGGAGCAGTTCAGCTTTTGACATTCTATCTTGTTCATGAACATAATGCTGTTGGATATTATTTTTTGTTCACTTCATGATCTAACAAAATTCTTACAAATTTGTAGCATGGTATATATTAGTTTGCATGGAAAACTTGCTGAAAAATGAAGTACTGGGGAGATGAAGAAAGACCTTCAATGGGCCTTCTGAGAGTGAGTCTGCATCTTACTGCAGAACTGGCTAATGAACAACGCTGCCGTCACTGTTGTGACCAGAAACCCAACTACCTAACTAGAAAGCCACCTTTCTACCTCTGGCTCCAAGATGCCTGCCTCTGCCATTATCTCTACAGGCCTGATGCTTTCTGAGTCAAATCTATCTCTCTTGCCACTACATCTATGGTACAACCCAATTTATATGCACACTCTTAGATGCAATGGAGTCTGGGAAATGTGGCCTGTACCCCAGACGTACCCTTACGATGCAGTTAGTACATGTGGTTGATAAAGCCAAACCACTTCACATTTGTTGTATTTTGGAGGCTGGAATTAGCCACCAGAGTCAAACACCTCAAAATATTTTTTGTTAGTTCATGAAGGTAACAAAAAAAATTGCTAAAGCATCATTATGTTCATTTTCATGTAGTAATCTTATTTTGTGACAACATCCGCTTCTATGTCAAAAAATACTGCACCAACACACTGTCCCGATTCCTTCCCTAGTCCTCTACTGAACGCTTGGGGATGCGCCTCCAAGTCTGATATCTCAGTCTGGCTGTGACTCTGCCATCTTCTCTGCCTGTACTTCAGAGATCTAACTACAATGCCAGGCATACTTTAAGCCTCTCAACTTGCACAACTACTTCCCAATACTCCCAGAACACGTTACCCACTGATGGGAACATATTCCATTCTACTTGGGTGTACACTTTTCAATCTCTTGATTTGATTAATTCACTGAAGGCAGAACCACATTAAATTCCTACTGCATGCATTCTGACTCCATAAGGGCCTGGCATCTTATAGGTGCTGAATAAACATTTATTGAACTGAACTGAGATCAGAATGACCACTAGAACATAAAATGAAAAGGTTATATATACCCTATGCAAGGAGAAGAAGGGTTTTTGTTTGTTTGTTTTTTGAGACAGGGTCTTGTTAATATAGTCCAGGCCTGCCTAGAACTCACTATGAAGTCTAGGCTGGCCTCAAATTCATGGCATTCCTCCTATCTCAGCCTCCCAAGTGCTGGGATTATAGGCGTGAATCACCATACTTGGCTGGAGAACGAGTTTCACTTTAGCATTTCTCATCTTCTATTTCTTTATCAGACCTGTAGATTTTGTTTTGTTGTCTTTTTGAGACAGGGTTTCACTATGCAGTTCAGGCTGGCCTTGAACTCACTTTGTAGTTCCGCCTGGCCTCGAGCTCATGGTGATCCTTGTGCTTCAGCCTACTGAGCGCACTACCACACCTAGCTACATTTTGTTCTTTAACAGACTTTGTTCTTACAATGTCCATGTACTTATGTAGCTCCATTATAAATGAATAACTGCTATATTAATAACTTTGTACTGTTATGATATTTGGACCACCTGAAGTTAAATACCACCAAGGTATTTTAAATTCTCAGGTGCACATCCGACAAATTTAAATCATGGCATATACTATGCGGGTATAAATGGGTTTGGCCAGAACAAATGTCAGTGACACTAATGATTTTAGTTACTGTGCTTAGAATTCAATGTATCAATCCATATTGATAAGTAACAATTTTGCTTCCCAAATAGTTCAGGAGTGATACAACAACATAAAAGGCAGGACACTGGCTCACAGCAAACACAAGTCTGTAGAAAGATTCTATTTCCATAATTTAAAATAAGGGGCTGGGGATTTAGCTCAGCGGCAAAAGCGCCTGCCTGACAAGCGCAAGGTCGTGAGTTCGGTTCCCGGTACCGGAGAAAAAAACAAAACAAAAAATAAATAAATAAAAAATAAAATAAAATAAAATAAAATAAAAGGTACCTTCTACTGAAAGCTATTTATGAACTTTTAAAATAAAATCTTCCCTTATTTCAAAGAGAGTCACTAAAGAGAGTAAATCCATAAATACAAAGACAAAAAGAAGTACATAATATAGCAGGCAAGATTACCTAGAATTTAAAAAGTAAAGAAGGTATTAGTTCTCAAGTGCCCTCAACACACACACGGTAACTAAGTATGAGAGTAACACGTGTAAACTTATTGTGACTGTGACTATTAACCTGGATTTGCCAACTTCATTGGAGTAAGAAACACCTAGCAGAGACCACTCGAGCACACTCCTGTGTCTGCATAGGTCATGGAACAGGGACCTGAGGACCCATACATGGTTTCTAGCTTGTTCCTCTCTAGTAACGTTCTACTCTGCGTCCTGGCCCAGCAACAAGAAAGCTGATTAACACAAAAAACCCAGACCAGAGATGTAGGGATTTTGCTGTAACCATGAGGCTTAGAAGCTTTTGGAACTGGTTTGTCTAAGAATTTTAGAAAGATTTGGGGATGTAGGCCAATGAAGACTTAGAATGCAGTACGCAGAGCCTGACAGATAATTCCAGACAAAACTCAGAAGACCAGAATCTTGGCAGGAAAGTGGACACTAAAGGGGTGGACCGGAATGTTTCAATTGGGAGGGAGGACTTTATTGGCAACTATACTAGAGTCATGTTTCTACACTCTGACAGAAAATGTTACCTGTACTTTGCCCATATCCTGGGACTCTGTGAGAGATGAAGATTAGGACGCTGGACTAATCTGGTGCAGAAAATTCCAAAACAGCCCAACACTCAGGCTGTGGCATGGATACTGCTGGCTGCTTTCGGCCAGATTTACCACGACAACTGGAGGCAAAAGGAAAAGAGCAGAAACTTATGAAACCCTTAAATTTTGGCCCAGAAGTAACCATATGTAAAGTCAAAGCCAAAGAGGTATGGCTGCTAAGGAGATTAGCACCAGTAAAAATAAACCAAGTACTTTGTACAGGGTCAAGAAGAAAAATGCCTGGAAGGCATCTAAGAAATCAGTAAGACCCAACCCATTAGTGCCAAAGTGTCGGCTTTTCATTTTGAGAAGAGTCCCTGGAACCCTGATCAAGAAGGGCATCCTAAAAAAAAAAAGGCATCCTAGGGAATTGATTCCCTAGGATTCATTTCACTTTTCTTAGCCACCACGTCACTACTATATATCCATGATCCAAGGGACCTACCTACTGCTTCTGCTGACAGCAGACCTCAACATCAGTCATGTGATACTGGTTTTACTGGTATGCAGAATGCAGGAGTTGTGGTATCCATGGTACCCAGAACTAAGAGGAAAGCCTGGCAGACCAGGCAAGAAGCATCTGAGAAGCCAGTACTTGAAGCTATGGGAATACAGCCAAAGGTATAGTGCAGATGCTTGGAAATCAAAGATGTCAGGGGTATGGACTATCAGACAAGAAAAACTGCAGGCCGTGAGTGCAGTCAGGTAAAGAGAGAAGCCTTCTGAGCTACAAGCAGCAACATCAGAAGGGTGGGGCTGCCCAAGCCCTTTGGAACTCATCTCACAACCATGTGCCCTGATGCCAGATACAGGACTTAATGTTTGCCCAGATGGGTTTTGCTCTTCCTTTGGCCCTATTCTTTTCTATCCCCTCTACCTTCCTTATGTACTTGTGAAGAGTCTGCCTTGAATCTCAGGAGAGATTTGGACATGGACTTCTGAAAAGCTGTGGAACTGCTGAGATGTTAAGAAAGGGACTACTGTATTTCTAGCTGTAAGCAGGAGAGTTGTTACATTAGTTGGGACTATAAGCTTACTATTGTCTTTATTTGGAAATTAGGTATGGTTTAAGGAAATGTGAGGTGTGGATTGTGACCTCTTTGTGGACTTTACTGGATTAAGAAATGCCTAGCAGATTACTAAAGTACAAGCCTGGGTATGTCTGTATGGTTTACTGAGGCATGACTCTGGCAAGGTACGCGTGCCTTGGTCCCTTGCTCTGCTCCGTCACACCCTTCCACCAAGGTGTTTCTCTGCCTTGGAGCCTACTGACTATGGACTGAATCTCTTAAAACATGAGCCAAATTACACCTCTCCTTCTTTAAATTGTAAGTGTCACGAACCGCGTCCAGCAACAGGAAATTTAACTAAGACAGTGACAATCATTTCTCCATGTACATCAAATAATTATGTTGTATAACCTGAATATACACAATATTTTATTTTCCAATTCTACTTCAATAAAGCTAAAAAATACAATTTTTAAAAACAATAAAAAGGGGCCCGGGATACAGCTCGGTGGCACAAGCACCTGCCTCGCAAGCACAAGATCCTGAGTTTGATTCCCGGTAAATAATAGTAACAATAAAAGGTTAATAAGCAGGATACTGTATTACCATCCAGAAGAGTCGAAGGCTGACTCTAACCATAAAGTAAATTCTGCTACTCTGCTTGAAGGGATCCCTTTTGTACTGTATGTAAGTCTGCTTCAAATTCAGGTTCAGCAATTACTAAGACAACTAAACAAATCACAGAGGTTGTAAAGGAGAACGACAGGCCTAAATGCAGAGCTCAGAAATGATTAGCACAAGTGGTCAAAACTGTCCATATTTTAACTTAGAACTCAGAGCTAAAGGGAATAATATACTGAGAACTCAGGGCTTCCTACCACAGACCCTATTTACACTTCTTATACAGAACAAATACCAGTTTCTCCCCTGAAGGACCTGCCTGCATTCTATTTTGAGCAGGGAGAAGTCACTACGTCAGGGGACAGGAGTGCAGCTCAGTGGTACAGCACATGCTCAAGCATGCTCGAAGCCTTGAATTTGACCCACACCCAAAACAAAAAATTCACTACATCCTACATAGGCTTGCTAAATTGAATACTATAAAGACTTACCACATTTCTAAATGAGGTAAAATATTCCTAGCCCAGTGTTTTATTTTATTCACAATTTTTTTCTACTTACAAAGTCTTGACGTATATCATTGAAGTCTTTGCCATATTTTTCCAATGCCTCTTCAAATAAGCTCGCTTCAGAGGCTGACCATTCTTCCATTTCATCTCTGCATAAAACAGGTCCTCCAAGTGGTACTAAGACACTAATTGCACTGCTCAAGTCATAGCCATGTCTGTATAATGTATCCATTGCATGAAACTAGAGAAACAAAAAACAGGAAATGTCAACTAGATATGCATACCTGCTAGATTATTTAGTTAAGGAAAACATCACAGTACATAATAACAATAAAATTAGTACTTTTTAAATTAAAAAAAGGAACAGATTACCAAGTAGGTATTTAAAATCTCATTTGTTGCTTTAAAAAAATGTTGACTTGTTCCAGATGTGGTGGTTCACACCTGTAATTCCATCTACTTGGAAGACTGAACTGATCTCCCAAGTTCAAGGCCAGCCTGGGCCACTTAGCAAGACTCTGTCTCAAAAACAGGCTAAGGATATAGTTCAGTGGTAGGATGTTTGGGTAGCATCTGCACAGCTCTGGATTTAATCCCCAATACTAGCAAAAGGGGTTGGTGTAGAACGTGAAAATGTTGATTTGTACCTTTTAAGGGTATGTTTGCCTGAGTTACTTTAGTTATTGTATAAAGTTCACGTAGCTTTCTCTGGCTAGGGAAAAACATAATGAATCAGAATGAGAAAAATATTCTAGGGTTAGAATAAGAGAATAATAAAAAGAAATGGAAAGAAACCAATGGACTGGAATATGATACTTAATGCAAAACAAAATTATATATCCATGCTAAACAGGCAAAACAAAAATACATATCTATGTTAACTAAAATGGTAACCGGACAGATTTTGGAAGACCAACAACAGACGACCAGGTTTGGTTATCAAAGCTAGGCAGGTATGTTTCCTATTCAACCAAAAGTGATTTGAAAAGAGGAGAGACAAACTGATAAACAGAATTATCTGGTGCTTATAATCAGCTATTTTTTTCTTTTTGCAAAAGCACCTCAGGTCTAACTTAAAAAGCATTTTTAAGTATTAAATTAATAAAGGAGGTTCAAAAACTTCAAGTCTTAAAATTCTTTGATGGTTTTTCTAATGGAGAGAAAGACATTCATCCATAACATCTATGTACACTTTGTACAGCAGGAAAATCACCAAACAAGACAATCAGCTGCATACACACATGGGTTTTCCAGACCAGCTGGCAAGGTGAGTCATTCCTTGCCCAAAGGAGAACTAGTTCTGTTTTCATTCCTTCCCACCCAGACTTTCTAACACATGAACACCAAGTCGTCTCCACTGTTTACACAAAGTACCTTTGCTATTTATTAATAACTTCACAGATGGAGATAGCTTCACTTCTACACAACAATTAAGTCCCTTAAAAATTACTATTGAAGTGATTCTTGAATATGTGGCAGGAACTGTGGAAAGTTCCCTACTTCTATAAGAACATACAATAAATTCAAATATCAACTAGTACATATAAAGAGAAAAATTATTAGCCAACTGTGCACTAACAGTATATATGTACAATGAATAAGAGAGTGTGAATCTACTGGCAGAGCTAATGCAGTATTTAGAATATGCAAACAAGTTTAGAAATAGTAACTAAACTGCTTTAACTAGGGTTGACATCTCACTTACACCACTGGATTCCACTAACCAAAATCCAAACAGAGATTTCATTATCAATTTCCTAGTTATAATCACCAAGCCCACTAATCATGTACAGTCTTGCTGTATTGTGTGTCACGGAAAAGTAACTTCCAAGTAAATTTCCTCTCACCCTTTTTTGTATTGGGGTGGAGCACAGGTATGAAAGCAAGGTCTCAGGACCGGAACTCAGTATGTGTAGCCCAGGATGGCCTTAAACTCACTGCAATCCTGACTCAGCTGCCTGAGTGCTGGGATTACAGTTGTGCACCACTGCACCTGGTTTCTCACCCTTCTGTAGCAGGGCTTATAAAAATCTCAGTCAAGAACTGATCTTGATTCCTGCTTATGCTCCACAAATGACGGCATCAACTGAAGTTTGCTTTTTTCTAGCTAAACTCAATGATTAGACTCTGCAATTTAGCTTCAGTGTAGCATTTACTTTCATATACTTCTGTATCAACTCTGAAACTAATTAGTTTCTGAATAACTGATCTATGAAAAAAGATTAGCATCATTCAAAGATCCCTTCAATTAACAATATCCTCATCATCATTACTTTATAACTTCCTAAATTTATAAGTGACAACAAAACTAAAAGACTGAGCTGGGTGTGATGATGCACACCTATAATCCTAGCACTTGGGAAGCTGAGACAGGAGGACCGAAGGGAGTTCAAGGCCAGCCTGAACTACACAGCAAGACCCTGTCTCAAAAAAACACAGCACAAGCAAATACACAAAACCAAACGATTAATATTTTCAAAATCCAATAATACAAATTAACTGATGATGAAATTTCTCAAGAGATAAAAGTAATTTTTATAATTAACAGAAACCAAAAGACACAGAATTAAATGCTAATATTACACCAACCACTCAAAACCTCTCCAGCCCACATTTAAACCACAGCCCAAAGCAGAGTGCAGTACCATCCCACAGGGTAGAGAGTAAACACCTCACCAGGCTTGTGCACTGTGGGATTCCTAGGGCAGAATTCTGTTGAAATCAATGATAACAATGCAAGGTGCAGAGAATCACATGATTTGCTAGAAGCCTATATTAATCCCATCTTTTTGACAAAGATAGATGTTTCTTTTAAACATTTTTATACAGTCTAACTCTACCCTTTTTTAAAGCTTTAAATGTTCAGGCACAGTGACACACGTGTGTAATCGCAGCACTTGGGTGGCTGAGGTAGGAAGATGTCTACAAGTTTCAGACCAGCTTGGACCACATAGTGAGTTGAAGGCCACCGGAACTGAACAGCAAAACCTTGTCTCAAAAAAAAAAAAGCTTTTAAGTAAAACATGAATATAATTTCTACTACAGGAGACAATATCCAATATAGAAAGTAAAAAAAAAGGACATACTATGAAAGAACACAGTTCTATGATATAAAACCAACAACTTCAGGTTCATCGCTAAGATCATAACAATTTAAAGATACAGGTAAGTTTAAACACAGAAACAACTAATCAATGGTGAATGGAGTCAGAATACTGGCTGGCAAGGGGCATGAAGGAAAACTTTTAGAATACTGACACTTTACCTAAATCTGATGATATCTGCACATGTAAATTTATAAAACGTACAACAAAGTAGAAGACATTCATTACTATATGTATAACTCAATTTAAAATAAAAAATTTAATAAGTATAAAACCTCTAGTCTTCCCTCCAGATACTTTGCAAAAATACCATCTTTCCAATAGAGATACACACATTGCAAGATCCATTCAAATCTAAATTTTAAAACTCATCACCCAGCACAAGCTGTTCTCTCTGCCAATAAGTGGTGAAGGTGTTGTCACATTTCATCTCATTCATAACAGATGGAGATGACAAACAGAAGTATTTTAGGAGGAAGACTGACAAGGAAATCTTGGCAGTGGAATTCTCATCTTTTGCTCATTAAGCAGACTCACACTACGGTAAACTGGATTGTTCAGCAAATATTCACTCCCTCCCCTGAACCTCCCGACTGCTGTGGGGCTTGCCCACTTGGTTGACCAGTACAATATTAATACAGGCGACCTTAACAGACACTTGACATGTGTTTGCGCATCTGGTCTTGCCCTCTTGCACTGACTGTTGTGTACACAGGGTGAGAGCTACACAGGGCAAATTCAGACCCAACACGTAGCCTGGAACTTAGGTCTGCTAAATGCGCTTTACCAGAATCCTTGACAATCTGCAGGTGAGTGTGTGAGAAACCATTGTTTGTTGTTATAACCCATAGAAATTTGAGCAATGGAACTGATTTCCCCCTCTTTAAGAAGAGAGAACTTCATCTTCCAGTCTTACATCTGGTAGTCTGAGCAACTTCACTGAAAATAACAATATGTAATATAACAGCCACTGTTAATTCCTATCATTTTGTTTTGAAATCCTGTATCATTTTTAATGTTCTCGCTTTGTTTTAGGTCTGCGATGTTGGTAGTTTGCTATTGTTCTTTTTTTTCTTCTACCATTCTCTTTAAAATTAAATAAAATAAGAGAGAACTTACCTACTTGCTAGAAGTATGGCAAACACACAGCCCTCCTCCCCTTGGTTTTCTACAGAATTATCTCAATTTAAGAAAGCCACTGCTGGAGTTATTTCCAGGTAGCCTATACTTAACCACGCAAGGTACAACAGCTCTGACCAGAGACAACTCTTCAACATGCCCTGTGGAGTCAGACAAGGCCTCATTCAGACTGCATCACAGCCTACCTTGTTCCGAGAGCCAGTCTGTCCCCAACCGCTTCTCTACAGGTGTTAAACCCACAGGCATGTCCTAATAAATTTCTTGCATAAAAAGCATCCTTAGAATCTGCTTCCCGGGGACCCAACCTGTCACAGGTAGCACTGTTATGACAGCACCTAGCTAATACACACATATGTTCAATACTAACTACTGATTCAATCAGAAATAATTTTATGAAAGCTTTACATTTATAATTCCAGCACAAATTAGAGCATGCAAAACATCACATCTACTTAAACATTATTGAGCATGAAGCTTTTCTCCAAGCAGAAAGTGAATGAATATAAACTTTCAGGAGTAAAACCTAAAACTATGATCAAGGCAAAATTTTTCTATCTCAAAAGAGAATATGACCAATGTGACGGGACACACCTGCAATTACAGCATTCTGGGAGCCTGAGGCAGGAAGCTCACAATTTCCAGCCTACTCTGGGAAACTGAGCAAGACCCTGCCTCAAAATAAAAAATATAGAAAGAGCTGGGGGGTTTGCTCAGTGTGAAGGTCCTGGGATCAATCTTTAGTGTACGCGTGCATGCATGCACACACACACACACACACACACACACACACACACACAGAAAAGAAAAAGGTTTAAAAACAGAAAACATTTTCTTTCGCTTCAATGGGAGAAAACAACTGGGAGAATCATATTCCAGGTCTGAAGAGAAAATGCAATAATACATGAAAAGAATTCTGCGCACGCACATTCCTGAACCACACTGCCCTGCTCAAGGCAACGAACACAAGTTTACAGACTTCATCTCACCTAGGAAATTA